GCTACAGTATGTGATTAATTACAGAGAAATGTATCTATTTAATTATTTATGTCTTATATCTGTATATGTACTATTCAGAGCAATTCACTTATGAATGAATCTAACATGGTTCTGAATGTGCATCGAGGGAATGGTTGGAAAATTCTTATTTTTTCATGTATATTACTGCACCGAAGGTTTGAAATAATGAAGATTTTTTTAATGTGTTTGATAAGTCTCTTCTGCTCCCCAAAGCTGCATTTATTTGATCGAAAGTACAGTAAAAATGTGTATAAATATAAAATATGTATATATAAAAATTGCTGAATTTTCAGCATAATTATTTCACCAAATCATTATTATGCTGATTTGGTGCTCAGTTATCAATGTTGTTCAATTAATAATGATGGTTCTTAGCATTATCAGTCTTAAAAACCATGATACTACTTTTTCCTCCCAGGATTATTTGATTAATAGAAAGTTCAAAATAACAGGATGTATTTATGTATTTATTTAATATATATTGTATATATATATATATATATATATATATATATATATATATATATATATATATATATATAAAATAAAACATAAAAACAGTTATCTTAAATTATAATAATATTTCACAATGTAGTTTTTGCTGTAATTTTGCTCAAATAAATGCAGCCTTTTTAGGAAAAATGAATCTTTCAAAAGCATATAAAAAAATAGTGCAGTGTAGACAGCTTCATCGACTATAACGGGAGCTTTTGCCACGTCACTCTCAGTATTGTAAGTACTGACGTATTGTTACATGAATGTAAGCATTTCCCAGATGGATAGTTAATGCTCAAAGTGTGTGCATCCTTAAGACAGCTGTACAGTGATTCACACACACACATGGCTGTTGGGCAGACAGTGCTGAAAGCTTCAGGTCTCTGATAGAGAACTCGACTGCATTCATTTGCACTGAGGCCTCTGAGTTTCTCCCTGTGGGACTGGCGCACACACATCTTATCAGTTGCTTCCTGCTCTCTTTCTGGAATCTGAGTTGCTCTACAGTGGCTTCATGACTGTGTTTCCCAGCCAGACAATGTGGTCAGGACCTGCCGCTCTCTGTGTTTGTATGCGGTTGTCCTGAATTGCTATCATTCTCGTGTCCTGTTATGGCATTCGTGTGTATTTATGGGATATGTTCACATTTGTTTATCTGTGTTTGCATTACAGACTAAAAATGAAAGTAAAACATAACTTTTGAACCCCCAAAATATAATTTTAGTTTACAACATTGGTAATACCATGTGATTTTATAATGTAACTTTAAATGCAATACCAAATAACACTCTACACTTACATAATTAAGTACTTTGCATGTGCTTTAGTATGTTAGCCATCACATCAAAATTAGTGACTTATTTACTTTTGCACAACTAAAATTTACTTTTAAAGTACAAATTTTAATTTCAACATAACTGACATATTTTGACATGTATTTTAAAGTGCAGTTTTTAAAAGTGTACTGAAGTGTGTTAAGAAACAGTCATGAAATGTAACTCTAAGTACACTTAAGTGGCCTTTTATTACACAATGTAGTTTTTGCTGTAATTTTGCTCAAATAAATGCAGCCTTTTTGGGAAAAATGAATCTTTCAAAAGCATATTAAAAAAATAGTGCAGTGTAGACAGCTTCATCGACTATAACGGGAGCTTTTGCCACGTCACTCTCAGTATTATAAGTACTGACGTATTGTTACATGAATGTAAGCATTTCCCAGATGGATAGTTAATGCTCAAAGTGTGTGCATCCTTAAGACAGCTGTACAGTGATTCACACACACACATGGCTGTTGGGCAGACAGTGCTGAAAGCTTCAGGTCTCTGATAGAGAACTCGACTGCATTCATGAGGCCTCTGAGTTTCTCCCTGTGGGACTGGCGCACACACACGCTCTTCAGGAGCAGAGTGTTGAGTGAACACATCTTATCAGTTGCTTCCTGCTCTCTTTCTGGAATCTGAGTTGCTCTACAGTGGCTTCATGACTGTGTTTCCCAGCCAGACAATGTGGTCAGGACCTGCCGCTCTCTGTGTTTGTATGCGGTTGTCCTGAATTGCTATCATTCTCGTGTCCTGTTATGGCATTCGTGTGTATTTATGGGATATGTTCACATTTGTTTATCTGTGTTTGCATTACAGACTAAAAATGAAAGTAAAACATAACTTTTGAACCCCCAAAATATAATTTTAGTTTACAACATTGGTAATACCATGTGATTTTATAATGTACCTTTAAATGTAACTTTAAATGCAATACCAAATAACACTCTACACTTACATAATGAAGTACTTTGCATGTGCTTTAGTATGTTAGCCATCACATCAAAATTAGTGACTTATTTAAAGCACAACTCAAATTTACTTTTAAAGTACAAATTTTAATTTCAACATAACAAATGTATTTTAAAGTGCAGTTTTTAAAAGTGTACTGAAGTGTGTTAAGAAACAGTCATGAAATGTAACTGTAAGTACACTTAAGTGGCCTTTTATTATTATTATTATTATTTACAAGTTCAGTTTTTTATATACTTTTAAGATTTGAAGAACACCAAAAGTGCACATTTAATACAATTACACACACTTCTTTTTCACAAGGTTCATAGTTCATCCAAAAATGAAAACTTTGTAATAATTTAATCACTGTCATGTTTTTTTTCCAACCTGTATAAACTTATTTCTACAGTGGAACATTTAAAAAAAAGTCTCAGTATTTAGAAATATCTTACTTTGTGTTCCCCAGAAGTAAGAAATACATACAGGTTTGGAACAACACAAGTAAATGATGACACTTTTGTATTTTTGGGTGAACTAGTGTTGTTATGATACCAAAATTTTGACTTTGACAATACTTGACTAAATTATCTCAATACTACTTCTGAACTGATACCATGACACAAACTATGAAATATCAAAAAAATTAAATCTCACACTTGACCAGTGTGTTCCTGTCCTGCTTTTTGAGTATTTCCTCCCTCGTTAAAAAATTAAATAAAATAAAATCTAAGAGGGCATGAGCTAGGGGTGGGAAATATGACCAAAATCGTATTCAGTGATAGGAGTAATTTCATTTCACAATAACAATTTATATAATAATATAGTATTTTTAATTTTATCTTTGTTATTAATAATAAGAACATATATGCAAGTAACAAACACAAGGACAAATACAAATAATTTTTTGGGTGAACTAGTGTTGTTATGATACCAAAATTTTGACTTTGACAATACTTGACTAAATTATCTCAATACTATTTTTGAACTGATACCATGACACAAACTATGAAATATCAAAAAAATTAAATCTCACACTTGACCAGTGTGTTCCTGTCCTGCTTTTTGAGTATTTCCTCCCTCGTTAAAAAATTAAATTAAATAAAATCTAAGAGGGCATGAGCTAGGGGTGGGAAATATGACCAAAATCGTATTCAGTGATAGGAGTAATTTCATTTCACAATAACAATTTATATAATAATATAGTATTTTTTATTTTATCTTTGTTATTAATAATAAGAACATAGATGCAAGTAACAAACACAAGGACAAATACAAATAAAACAAAGACACAAATGAAATAAAGTGTTTTTAGTAACAGTCTATTTAACAGTAGCATTCAAGAAAGAGATGATACAGAAATTGAATAATCAAAATGTAAATGTAAAGCACTGCATAGTCTTCGCAATTAAACATTCATACATTGATCCTTTTTAATGCTACTAAAGTTAGTCAGTCAAGATCAGTGAGTGATTTTCTCATTTTCTTTTGTTGTTTCATTAACAATGTAGAGATAGACATCAGCAGGAAAATTAGTCCGCTGTCACTTTAAGAGCTGCACGGTTCCAATTTATTGATACACATGCGTTTTCTTTCTCAACTGTTTACGTTCACTTCAGTCATAAGCCAGGACATGCATTTTAACATTGTGTGTGTATTTGACCGCTGAAGCACAAGAACTCGTGAAAGAGATCTGAATTCGCGATTGCATGCTGTCTGTGAGAGAGGCGGCTTTCCTTGCACGCGCATCGGGTGTGTGATAGTGCGCGAGAACTGCACTGAGTACTTTTCAAGGTTTATTGCACTAAATAACTCTCTTTTTCAACATCAAGCATGTCCCTCACTTTATTTTCTCATTCATGTATATTTCTTATTCACTCCTAAATTGTCGATAACTTTAAGCAGTGGTGTGCTGCGTGGATTTAGAAAGTTTGGCACGACCAGTGAGCATGCAGGGAGCTGAAGCAGAGCGCTGAACACACACTGGCCTGCTGCTGCACGTCGACACAACTCAGGAAAGCGCATCGGGTGTGTGATAGTGCGCGAGAACTGCACTGAGTACTTTTTCAAGGTTTATTGCACTAAATAACTCTCTTTTTCAACATCAAGCATGTCCCTCACTTTATTTTCTCATTCATGCATATTTCTTATTCACTCCTAAATTGTCGATAACTTTAAGCAGTGGTGTGCTGCGTGGATTTAGAAAGTTTGGCACGACCAGTGAGCATGCAGGGAGCTGAAGCAGAGCGCTGAACACACACTGGCCTGCTGCTGCACGTCGACACAACTCAGGAAATTTTAAAGCAGTTTAACATAAGGCAGCAACAAAACAAAATATGAAAAAAATGAAGGGGTATGAATACATTCGCAAGGCACTGTATATATATATATATGAAATAAATAAATAAAAACAAAAACAAAAATTTCGGATGTAAGCATCAAAACAATGCCCTACCGTACTGCAACGCATCAAAGCAGCCAATCCTACACAGTCAAGACTAACTTAAAGAGGTTGCCACCATTTAGTAAACTGTGGAGCTTTGGCTCTTCCTGCTGACTTGAATGGTGATGCTTCCTGTTTGTCAGTTGATGGCCTTTTATTTTTAACCAGAAATGTGTACGCTGCTTTTCTGATGTTCACTGAAGTTTTTCCCATGTCACTTGAAATATTTCCGTTTTGAATTGTTGTTACCAAAGGCGAGACATGTGAGGAAAAAATAAACCATCAGTTGTGGGACTATATTCTGTCATAAATCACACACCATTCATTGCTGAACTTTCTACGGTCCGTTACTGGAAATTAAATTAAATTAAATTACTGATTGATATGTCCCTATCTCAATAAAGTTTACACACGCTTTTGGTCCGTGAATTAGATCTCGCTCGGGACGCGCGCTGTCTGTGGAGGTTTGGCCAGGACCGGTTCCAGAATTAAATCAACATATTTTATGTTCCGTCCATTGCCAATCACTGCAATTTCGAGAGTGAATCCCACATAAATATGCGGACGTCATTCCCGAAACTTTGCAGGGTGTAGCCTATGTGTCCGAAAAACAAAAGTTTCATACAAATTCTGAATGGATTATAGAAAGTGCGCAAAGCCCTTTATCACTAAAAAGCGTCACTCATCTTTGTTCATCACTATCTTACAAAGTTCCGTTATAATCATTAAAGCTCTCTAAACTGCACAATGAATCTCTTATTTGCATCGCGTCTGCACTTAGTCATGAGATGATTCACGAGCGTGCAAAACAGGGTTGCCAGGTTTTCACAACAAAACCCGCCCAATTGCTACTCAAAACTAGGGAGGGGGGTTCCCGGTACAAATTGGGGGTAAAATACACATTTTTATAATAAAATAAAACATTTTCGGCAGGGTTCCTCCAGTAAAATTCGCATTCCAGGGGCTGAATATCACATTATCGGGGGCGCTTCAACCCGCGGACATGAAAAACAACCCACGGCAACAGTGTTAAAGTAGCCCAATTCCGGGAAAACCGTGGACAAAACTGCACTTAAACACGGCGGCGCTTTCAGCAGTGAGTGAATTCTGACAAAACGTTTTTGATTGGCCATTGCGTTCAAGAAATCAACAGATATTGCTGTGATTGGTTACATTGCTCAACGCTGCAAAAACACGTTGAGGGTATTTAGGCTAAGCACTCCAATTGCAGCGGGGCCGACATGAGGGATTCCATGACTAACAATTTGCCTCCCCCCTTGCCCCCCCCCAATGTCGCCCATGCCTGCACATATCCCTATATGCTCTCTTTTTCACTGCAGAGCTGGTAAACTATATACTTTACAATGTTGTGTCTGTTTATGTTTTGTATTATCTGTATTTCTCTCTTTTCCTCTGTATTCTGTCCGTTTTGTGCTCTCTCTCTCTCTCTCTCCCTCTGTGCTCCAATAATGGAATAAATTGACCTATTTCATCTTGATTATGTCTCTTAGCAACAGAGCTCCATCCTTTACGTTTCAATCAGAGCGAGCAGCACTTAAGCAGCACTTCTGAATCATGTTAAGTCTCATT